TCATGTTTTGTTATTAGTTCACCCAGTTTAGGTTATTGTTTAGTTTTCACCCATGCCCCATTATTTTGTACCCTTGTTTCTTGCCTTATTAAACGGCTTGTTTTGTTATTCACATCCCATTTCGGTCTGCGCTTGAGTCCTTCCCTGCAATATACGGTCTGCCCTAGCCAGACCGCGACAGCGGGGCAACATTATCAACAATTTTATTATACGCACTTTTAGACATTTAGAATTTGGCATTTCATTAACATAGAAATGGCAAAATACAGAGTATCATACAACTGGTGCTGACCCTGCTGCTTACCTCTCTTCCACCCCTCTGCCTCCAGAGAGTCACTACAAGGAGAAGCTGCAGTATCGTTGCTGTAAAGATGGCCTTCGGGAGATCCCGATGCCGTACTCTTGCACACGACGCTCCCTCTACATCACTGAGGGATGGGAGTGCATCCGGGCGTTCCGCTATTGCTGCGCCACATTGAGGGACCAGCCGTTTAACACAGAGATTCCTACGACACCATCACCCACTACAACACCTGTTCCCACCACCACTGCTGCTCACATTATTATGCCACATCGGAGAATACATCTCTCGCAAGAGAACTTCAGTAATTTCTATACTTCATTCTCATCAATTTGGCATTCATATCTTTGATTTTAGCTTGATATGTCAAAGCTTTTTACATTTAATTTAAAATTTAGCAGTATAACAATAAAATAGTTAATCAAAAATAGTTCATATTATTATTTAAAGACATTTCTAGATTTGGCACAAATCTAAAACTTTGGGTCCTCTCAAATCAGTTTAAGGACATTGACCTCTGCTAGGAAAACAGTCTGCTTGACATTTACTGTTTTCCTGTGGAGCGCCAGTTGCGGCATTTTGTCCTCTTTTACTCACAGCACTGAAACTCTCTGATCAGGGCAGAAGGCATCTCCTGCTCCATCTACTGAGATCGCCAATAGATTTTTGGAGTTTAAGAGCACCTCATGTTCTACAGAAACATTTTATTTATTATGTAAAAAAAAGAAACAAAAAAACATTTCACTAATTTCTCCAATAATAACTATGGATGAAGTCAACACCAGTAAAAGCTAAACGCTTATACTTTAATCACATCTTGATTGTTTGATTAACAATCTGCTGGGTGTTGTCTAAAACACTATGTGCATAACTGTGTGAATATATTCAAATATTACAGACTGGAGATATCCTTCACCTGGACAACCTGGACTACAAGGACGACCTGGACTACCTGGACTACCTGGACCACCTGGACCACCTGAAACTGAAGTATTGCATTCATTTCCCGGCCAGCCTGGACCAATTGGGCGTGAAGTGTACCTTGAGAATTATGCGAGGATAGCAGAGGACGAATATGATGTGCTTAGTTCAATTGCAAAAGAGATCATCGAAGAAGGCGAAGAGGAAGAAGAGTATACAGATGAGGCTGACGTATATCTGCGTTCCAAGTTCTATGAGTCTTGGATGTGGATGGATGTTAACCTGCCCAATCAGGCAGATAGAGACAGCAGAGACGGGTGAGTAAATGATTAGACCAGAGGTTACATCTAATGAAGACAAGTCTGATTGGTTAGTAACTTGGTTGTTTCAGCTGCAATATGGGACATGCAATTAAACCACTGTTGAGTACTTCAGTCATAAACAATGTTGGTCAAATTACTTGAAAATAGTGTACAGCAGACGTTAATGTTTTTGCCACTTTTTACGGAATCAAACTAAAAGTAATGTCAGTACCTCCAAGCTTTAAACGCTGCATGTTGATCTACACACGTCTGTTGCTGCCACAGTTGTTGCACGTACTCATGTCATTGTCATGAGACATACTCACAAACACAATGACGTTTTAGTAACCATAACGCAGCGTGCTTACCGGAAAGTAATAGGAATCTAATTACTTTTTTGCAATAGTAATCCCTTACTTTACTCGTTCTTTGAAAAGAGCAACGTGTTACTTGTAATGTGTTACTGCCCATCTCTGTTCATTAATACTTTTAACTTTCCACTAGTCCGATATTTAAAGCATCGTCATATACTGCCTTTCTCTCCTACACTTACTTCTCACCCCTTCATCATGGACACTGGTAACAGCTTTTTCTTTAGTGATAAACCACCTGAATGAAATCTTAAAAATCAAGCACAGAGACAAACACGGATCAGTACCAGCTCTAGGCAAATCCAAAGTTAGCGCATCACAATAATGCAAATATCCACCCTTAGTGTAGCCTTTGTGATTGTTCCCACTTGCATGTAAATCATATTAAACCAAATTTATCACAGTGTGAAAGCATGGTGGAGGAAACAAGTAAACTGAAAATATTAGTTACAGATGCTTTAATATCATGTGGGCTCCAGTGGGAAAAAACTGAACTCAAGTTCAGTGGGTTCATTTGACTGCGGTGTACACTCTATTAGCTGTGTGTGACTTGGTTTGTAAAATATCATGATTCATCGTCACTGATAAAAATAGACAGTAAACCAGCTTTTCTGTGGGTTAGCAGGAACACAGTATTTCATATCCATTGACCTTTAAAGACTTTTATTGCACCTCACAATATAAAGTCAAAGGAGCTTGCAAAGAAAAGCGTCTGGACTTCTTTAAGTTGCTTGAAGACGTTTCACCTCTTATCCGAGAAGCTTCTTCAGTTCTAAGGTCAAATGGTGGAGAGTCCCAGATATAAACCTAGTGGGAGAATCCCCCCACAGAGGGACAAAAGGACCCCCTGATGATCCTCTAATCGCCTGAGCCAAGGTGGGAAACTGGGCAACTTAAAGAAGTCCAGACGCTTTTCTTTGCAAGCTCCTTTCACTACGATGACCTGGATGACTGAGAACCTTCACAGACTCACAATATAAAGGTCCTTGAGGTGAATACTGTTGTGTTTTGGTGTGATACAGTAAATCAAATCGAACTGAACTAATAGACTTTTAAACACGTGTTGCTGCAACACTTAAATGTCCGCAGTAGTTGAAAAGTTTACAAGACTTGGCTTTAAATGCTGTCCTTCTGTCAACATCCACAGATTAATGGACTAATTAGGATCATCGCTCACTGATTTCTCTCAATCTGTCTGTCTGATAAAAGAAAAAAACATTTTTTTAAGCGAGCGGGATCGTGCTGTTCGGTCAGTGATAACAGCAGAACAAACAGTTCTAAGTGCAGAAAACATGAACACAACATCATTCTGTGTTTCACCATCGTGACCATCGGTGTGTGTGCGTACACTCACAATGTAGCAACACAAATTCCTGCACTGTATCTGTGTCGTGCTTGCTCTGTGAAAACCATCTGCTAGTGTCTAGAACCAAGTTAATGTTTTATAGATTGTTTGCTGAAACTTCAGAAACCTTCACTGCAGTTTAATAGAGATAAAAGAGAGTGAGAAGTGTCATTTTTTAAACTGCACATTATTATGCCATAATCATAACTCGTACTACAGTAAACTGGTAGTTAATGAATTGTTATTGGCTAGTTATGTTTCAGCTAACAATGATAACTAATATACACAGGTGATTAGTAATATCTAATTCATGTTAATTTATTAGTCAGTGCTTTATTTTTTATATACAGCATGTTTGGTGTCATAGGTGGTAAGTTCATAAATAAATTTAAGTCTAATGACATTAGTGGAAAGTAAAATTCAGTGTACTCCATTATTCATTAGTTAATCATTACCAAATGTTATTCTTCTGAAATAAAGACTTCATGATAGATCAGACTCAAACTAATGGGATGGATACCAGTTAGTGATTAAACACTGATTTGTTGTTTGTTAACAGCAAAAAACAAACAAACAAAAAAGAAAAACTTTACTTAAAATTAAATGTTCTGTGTATTAACTGTAAAAGGTTTATTTTTTTAAAATCTTACTTTAAATATATATTTAGACGTCTATGCTGTACACATTTTCTGTTGAGTATGCAAAATTTCTACATAGTATAATATAGTATAGCAATTGTCTACTTGTAGTTTTGAGCTTGGATCTATTGTAAGATAAAAAAAATAACATGGATCTTATCAACAGGCTGGCCTCGCTGACAATGGAGGACCCCTTACCTGATAGCATCACAGAATGGGGGCTTCTGGCTGTCAGTGCATCACCCCACACAGGTGAGATGACAGCGAACTAGGAATCAAAGTGCTTAACTGGTTAGGGACTCAGTTTTTGGAAATTGATGCAGTCTGGCTTTAATGGGAAACACTTTTAAACTTCCAGATAAAAAACGGTTATTTTGTGTAATCCCAAAAAAGGATGTTATCTAAAAATTATCATTATGTTTGATTATGAACATGGATATACTGTTACAACACTTTTTTTTGTAATAGTGATAATAATACACAATATTTATATAGCGTATTTCAAAACACATTGACATAATACTTTACAAAGTGAGATAGACATAGTGAGAGAGACAGGAGGGATCTGGAGAGGAGAGATGATAAAATATTATATTAAAAAAAACAACATAAAACAAGAGTCAGTGAGAAATGTATACAAATGTTAACTTAAGAGTGTTTTGGAAGATACTGTGATCAGATTTCCTCTATGAGGTTGTTCCAGACAGTGTGTATTTTATTGGCTCAATCAAGTGTATAAGGAGTTACAGTAGTTTAATCAGGAGGAAATGACAGCAAGTTTTACACTACCATGTAAGATTAAAGCATGATTTGTAGGGATGTCTTATATTAATAAGAAATATCGTGTCCTGGCAACAATCAAAAATTAACCCAATTCTTAAATTAACCATTTTAAAAAAAGTTTTGCTTTTCTATGTTTAACTAAAAGTTAAGGACAACGTTTTTCACATTCTGTCAACCACCAATTTCTCAGAGCAAAAGAAAATAATATACTTTCACACTTGGCAACAGAGTGAATGTGCTCTACCTCCATCACCTCCAGGTGAAAACAAACAGTGGCAAACAATGCTCCACGATTAAAAGTTTCCAAACTATCCTGTTTTCTATCATCAACCCGAATGATAGAGAAATTTTCAGAATCCTAATCCCCCACAGACGTTTTTCACCATCTTGTGAATCTGCAGGTTTCTGTGTTGCGGAGCCCTACAACTTCAGAGTGTGGAAACGTTTCTTTGTGGAGCTGAAGCTGCCGTATTCAGTGGCGAGACACGAACAGGTTGAAATAAAAGCTGTGGTCCATAACTACGGCTCTGAGGAACTACATGTAAGATTATTGACTTACTTTTACTCTTTCTCGTAAATTACCAGCTTCTTCTTCTGTAACGGCTGATCGCTTTCTGCTCAGGTCAGGGTGGTGCTCATGAAGACTGAAGGCATATGCAGCATTGCTTTCAAGGACAGACACACACAGGAAGTGACGGTGCCAGCTGGCTCTTCGATAGCTGTGCCCTACACCATTGTACCGCTGGTGGTGGGAAAACATCCCTTGGAGGTGATGGTGCTCGGGAGAGACATGACGGGAGGAGACCGTATCCAGAAGCTTTTACGGGTAGTGGTAAGTGACTGCGTGATGAAACTGGCATTTTCTGTGTGCTTAGAAGATAATTAATAAGTAACACATATCTTCTTGAATCAAAACCTTTTTTCCTGATACAAACAGCTTGATGGAGTGCAGAAGACTGAAGTTTGGAGTGTGGTGTTGAACCCATCCACTGAGGGGGGTAAGTAGATGAGTAAGCAGTGAGGTATGATAATGTGTCATTCCCTATTTTATGACCACAGTTCCCAAAAGGTTGTGACAAATATGTAAAATGTAAATAATAACAGAATGTAATGACTTGAAAATCTCATAGATACATATTCACAATAGAGTTATAATAAGAACATGGAATGTTTAAAATGACACACTTTAGTACTTCATGGAAAATTAGCTCATTTTGAATTTAATCAAATCAAATCAAATCAAATCAAATCAAATCAATCAAATCAAATCACTTTTATTGTCACATTGCATGTGCAGGCACACTGGCACAGCACATGCGAGTGAAATTCTTGTGTGCGAGCCCCACAAGCAACAGAAATGTGCAAACACAACAACACAAACCAGCAAATACAAGAATGGCTACATCTGAAACTAATAAATATATGTACAATATAT